AGTCTGTCCTTCTTGAATCAATATGTACAATATTTTGTGCAAAAGAATTTTGAGAGCCTCGTTCTGTCTTTGTTCAGCTTGGAATATCAGGTGTAATTTTCACATTTCTCAGATTGTTGGTCCAATAAATATTGTTAGCTTCTAGATTTACTAAAACATGAAAGAAATAAACATTAATACGGTATTTTCATTCCTTAAAATCACATGTTGCAGAAGAGTAGAAATGCAAGAAATCGAAATGAAGACATTCTTGTTTGCTTGTGTTAGAGGAGATATGACAACATAACACAAATATATACAGGCCTGAACAAACTTCTTCTCCTGTTAATGCACTGGACTGTAGTGTGTGTGTGTGTGTGTGTGTGTGTGTGTGCAGGTCCGTCTAAAATAGGATTAGGACCCTGGGCAATGCATTTTCTTGGGCCCCCTGGGCCCTGCTCCTCCAACCACCCCACCTACTGACACACACACAGACACACATACATAAATACACACAGAGACACATACACTGACAGATATACTGACACACACAGACACATACACTGACAGACGTATTGACACACACACACAGACATGCTGAAACACACAGGCATTCTGACATACACACACAGACACACTGACACACACAGGCATACTGACAGACAGACATACTGACACACACAGGCATACTGAAACATACACACACACACACACACACATAGTGACATACACACATACTGACATACATTTAGCCACCCTCCAGGCTCTTACCTTTTTCTTGAGGGTGATTTCCCTGGGGTCCAGTGGCAGGCTGAGGCAGTTGGGAGTTCTCCTCTGGAACTCCCCTCCTCCTTGCCTTCCTCCTCCCGCGCGGGTGTGATCTCCGGTAAGAGAAAGTGACGCGCTGCACTCACTTCCTCCCAGCCGACTGCCGAACAGGAAGGGGCCCGGTTGCGCTGTTTAAGAGTCACAGCGCCAGGCCCCTGCTGACACATGCTCACGCATGGGCCACCCGGGGGGCCTCCATAATGTGTGCGGGCCGGTGCAGCTCTGTGCAGCTCAAATCGCAGGGCCCCCCAGGAGCAACTGGGCCTGGGGCAGCTGCCCCGTTTGCCCCATGTTAAAGACGGGTGTGTGTGTGTGTGTATATATATATATATTTCTTGGAGTGCATCTTTGAGTGTTAAGTTACACATGTGTTTGGACGTATTTATGAGTTTCAGCATGTTGCAATGTGCATCTGTATGTGTTTGTGTGGTAATGTATGTGTATATGTATACACATATGCAAACGTATGTGTGTGTGTGTTTGTATTTTTTGTTACTGCAAGGTCTGTCATTGATGCAATGTAACTATTATGTTGTTTATCTGTAGTATTTCTTTTATACAACTAAATATTTTATTTTTCTACATTCTATTTGAATAATATGGATTATTTGACAAAAATATATACTTTTGTGTAGTGATCATGTGTTCGATGAATACTATAGATCTTAAAGTGATACTCACAGCATACACCTGGCACCATTCCTCGGTTCTATGTCAAAACATTTTCAAACAGTTTGACACAAATAGAGGATATTCTGAATGCCTGCAGCCTGTTAACTTGCTGGGCATGTTGCCATTACACTTTTACATCGGCAATATTAATTGTGTAAAACTTTTATAGTCATTCCTCGGATGATTGTGTCAGTTGAAATGCTCTGTCGATGAATACTGTAAAAGTCACAATTTCCCATTAGCAATATGTAAGACAAGGGGCTGGGTCACCGGCAGCTTGGAGGCCATTATTGTGTTTTAAACTGCTCGAAAATGGTTTGACACAGAGCCGCAGGAGCTTTTGTGATTATGGTACTTTGTCTGTCCCTTTAACTACCCCAACACAATAAATGTTGTTTTCGTTATTTGACTTTTCAAACTTAAATGCTAATTGAAATTTAAATACAATAAAGATGAAATGCCTAGGGCGTAACAAAAACAAATCTAAAATTCTTTATCTGAATACTACTAATGCAACATGTAACATAATATATTATTATACAACATAATTACATAATATTATAATTAAGTTCTTGCTTTTTGGGATGTTACTAGGTGGCAAGGAGAGCCTGGGCTTCAGTTCAAGGGTATATTTTTTTTTTTTTAATTTGACAATTTTTATTGTACAATGCATCGAGATACAGTCATGACATTTAGTGTACAACATATGCAGCTTACACGATCCCACATGTCGTTGGTAGATGTTACAGACATTATAAATTCGTTTTTATTCTCCCCTACCCCTCTAGAGGGTTCAGGACTGTAGGTGTTCGTGCAGGGGTGTATCGTGCATATCTGTGCAAGGTTACCTTCGGCCACAAGTGGCCGGATGCTCTGTGCGTATCATTGTCAAGCATCGTACTTTTCGGGAAGACGAATAGGTAGGATAGAGGGTGGTTGTGGAGTGGGGGTGGGGGGGGGGGAACTTGGGGGGGGGGTAAGAGACTAGTTGCATTGTTTAGGTCAGTTCTTTTTGTAGTCCTTCTGATCGTAGGAAGTCGTTCCACCTGTTGTGTGCTAGAGTCATGTGTTTCTTCTCACCAAATTGTCGTGCATATACCATCTCGTAGGCCCAGTTCAGTTTTATTTGGTTTATGAGGGCCTCTCGTGATGGGATTGTCGTTTGTTTCCATAGCCTAGCAATGCATGTGACTGTGGAAATAAGGATGTGGTATATTGCTGCCCACTTATCTTTAGTAAGTGAGTCTGGCGGTATGAATAGTATGCACAGTTCCAGTGTTAGTGAGATTTGTGTTTGTATGGTGGCATTTATGATTATTTGTACCTCCTGCCAATAGGATTTGATGGTGGGGCATGTCCACCAGACGTGAGACATGGTGCCTTTACTCTGGCCACATCTCCAGCAGGTGTCGGAGGACCGCGGCCACATCTGGTGGAGTCTGGATGGTACCAAATACCATCGGTATAACAGTTTGCGCTGCATCTCAATGTGAGTGGCACAAGATGTTACACCTTTGTACGAGGAGTAAGCCTTAGTCCAGTCTGTCAGTGGGATTGTTCTGCCTAATTCTCTATGCCAGGATTGAATGTGTGTTTCTTCGCCCTGATCTAATGCTTGGGTCAGTGCTTTGTAACTAATGGAGATGAGTTTTTTCAGTGGTTTTCTATGTGCGCATATCTGTTCGAATTCGGTCATCGGTCTTGTGGCTGCAGCAGCCGGTTCGTTAGGTTTGTTATTAGCTAAGTAAGATTTAATTTGGAGGTATGCGAAGCCTAGTCTGTGGGGTAATTGAAATTCTGGTTGTCAGTGTCTTGAAGCGCTAGAATTCGTTTATGTGATCTTCGTATGGGGTAGGCTGAGCCTGTAGCTGATAGTGCTTTGGGTTTGTCCTCACAATGCTGGGCAGTAGTGTGGGCCTGAGTTGTTTGTTTAGTGGTGGTGAGGGCGATTTGCGCTGGGCTATTGGTGGGCCCAGAGGTTGTCAGTTTGTTCAGGTGGGTGTCATCTTCTTGTTCAATGGGTGCATCTGTCTCTTGGAGTAGTGTCGAGAGGGGAGAGGGGGGAGGGGGTGTAGTGGGGTCATACTGTGAAGGTATGAACATGGGGGGGGTAAAAACTGTAGCCCTTTGATGGGCTTTGGTTCCGGCTATCGGTACCATGAGAGCGTGGTTATTCTAAAGAAAAGAATAGTAAGATTGGCCTGTGTCAGTCCGTTGTGACCGGCGGTTGTGTAGTGGAGTGCCTCTTTACGGCTGTCGGCCTTGCGGTGAGGTACAGTAACTTTGGGCTGCGGTTGTCACTTGGGTTCAATCTGCTTGCGTCAACATTGCGGGGTTTTATATATGTATATATATATATATTTTTTTTTAAACTACAGCAGGGGGCTTGTGCCAGCGGTGTCCTCCCGGGGAGTCAAGGACCGCAGGGGGCATAGGTTGGCGGTGCGTGACTGTGGTTGCTACCTGGCTTGGTCGCCTAAGGTGTGTGGGAGGTTGTGAAGGGCACGCTATGGTCTAGTTGTGGCGGGACGGTTCAGTGTGCGCCTCGCCTATCCTCCGGTAGATTTACGTCTCTTTGGAGGCCTCATGGAGGGGAGGGCATTGTGTGCATCGGGGCTATCCCATTGGCCTATATGCTTAGTTTGCAACTATCATCCATATATTATTCAAACATCCAAAACAATCATATTGCAATACATAATAGGCACCATTATCGTCCCCCGTGGTACAATCCCGCTCCCCCCAGGCTGTAAACGGGCTGTCCCATTCACATATACGCTGAATTGGCAGCTATGCCTCATACACTATTCAATACCCGAGACAGTCATATTGTGATACTTTTAAACATAATTACCATTCTTCGTGATGCCTCCCTGCTCCCCTCAGCTCTAAACGGGGCTGTCTTATTCACATGTGAGCTAGACTTACAACTATTCCCCACAATTTGTTCAGAGATTCAAGACGTTTACATTGCAATAAATCGTAGTCACAATTACCCTCCCCCGTGATATCTTCCCGCTGCCCCAACTCCCCCGAGCGTGGCGACTTTTCTTGAGCTGTGTTGTGTCATCCTCTGGGAGTTCCCTGCAGCCTTCTGGTGTCTGCTCCCAAAGATGCTGAGGCTATTTGCCTCTCGGTAGGGTGCAGCTGGGTGTGTACTTCTGCCCGAGCCTACAGGCACTAAAAGTTCGTGTGGCAGCATAGTGTGTCATTTTGTGCCGTGCTGTAGTCCCTGAGATTGGCACGTGTTGTGTGTTGTTAGCCCCCAGTGTGCATGCAGTGTGTGTGTTGCGAATGAATGTGTTTTGTTGACGTGTGAGGCGCTGCCAGTGTTGCAAGGGCAGCGTGGGGAGTTATAGTGTCATAGTCACCTGCTTGAAATCAATAGTCCTTTCTCGTGGCCCTTTAACAGTCCCGCATTCTGTTGTTCGTGGGTATTGTGAGTAGCTTATTTCATCTCGCGCCATTTTCGCTGCTTATCGTGTTTCAAGTGTGTACTCCTCCATCAGGACCGCAGGGCTTTAGTTACGTACTCTTTTCCAGTCGGCTGTAAGCTTACTCGGTTGTGGGTCGTTGCCGCTTCTTGCTTGGTTTTGGGATTGTATACCCCATTTCTGCAGTGTTTTCCGTCCATCCGCCAGAGAGGTGATAACGTGCATAGCTCCATTTTTATGTATGAGGAGACGCACTGGGTGGACCCAGCGATAGGGCACCTCATGGGAGCGGAGGGCATCTGTTATTTCCTTATACTCCTTCCTTTTTTTCAGGGTTTGGGCAGAGAGATCTGCATATAGTTGAATGGAGTTGTATTGGGCTGGAAGGTCTTTGCGGAGCCTAGATGCTCTCATCAGTGCTTCTTTCGCATGATAATAGTGGAGGTGTGTCAGTACATCCCTTGGCGCTTCGGCTGGGAGAAAGCTTGGTTTAGCGACTCTGTGCGCTCTGTCCAAGAGCAAGACATCTGCTGGGAGGTCAGGAGCTAATGTTTTGAAGTAAGCCGTGAGGTATGCCGCTATTTCGGGCTGCTTCACCGTCTCAGGGATCCCCCTGATCCGTATATTCTGTCTCCTCGACCTATCTTCTAGGTCCATGATTTTATATTGACAGGACTCCAGCGCCTGTTCCAGGTGGTGGACATGATCTGCCATGTCATTGTGTGCGTCTGCATACTCGCCCATGCGGTTCTCCATGCGGGCTGTTCTGTCACCCAGCTCCTGCACGTCTTTTCTTAAGTCTGAGATGGACTTGTTGAGGCTGTGTAGCAGTTTGTCAGACATTTCTCCTAGGCATGCCTGGAGTATGTTCTGTGTGACCGGCAGGTCTCTACCCCCAGGGGATTCCTGCAGCGGCAGCGTGTCATCGCCATCTTGGCTGTGCTCTCCTGTACTCTGGGCCTTAGTTGGCGGATTGCGAGCGGAAAAAAAAACGTTTTTATCAGCTTTGTCGGGGATCCTCTTCCCTTTGGGTTGAGCCATGCTGGAGGCTTGGTATGGAGGTTAGTGCTGGTCACTGTTGCTGGTAATGTCGCTGTATAGGCCAAAACAGAACGGAGCTCGTCTCACATGCGTCCGTTCGCGCCGAGCGTTAAGCCACGCCCCCCCAAGGGTATATTTTTAATGACCCCCCTGTATGTATTAACTAAGCTCCTGCTAAAATTAACCTTGCCATAAGACCAGCCTTAGACTCTAATGTGTTTTATAACTCACATTGTGACACCAAATCTTGCATGCACAAAGGAGAGATTGGGGGCACACCCGTATACATGAAAGGTGCTGCCGCAGTGACCAAAATTCATACAGAAAAACTAGTTACGGCGCACTCAGACTTGTAAATAAATAACTAAGAAGGCTAACGCCTATCTAAGAATAAATATGGGGATTTAGTTCCACCATATGGCCATATGATGTTAAGCCCACTACTACTTCAAAGTACCCCAATATCAGTGGGTCCTACGCTAATAACAAAAATGTGGGAGATAAATTAAATAGTACTAGTGCTAAACATAAGCTACAGTGTATTGAGTTCATTTCTTTGTAAGAGCAAAGTGAGTATACAATAGTGATAAAAGCAATTAAAAACAGTGTAACAACTAAACAATTAAAGTGTTGGTGCTTGAATGAGTATACTCACATTTGCAGATAATATCTGTGCTGCATAAAGAAAATAATAAAAGTGACATGACTATAAAACTCCTCCTATTTATACACACCTGTGGCCACCTCTAAAGAGGTCTCTGAAGCTGGGGGGCCTGGGCGGGGTGCTTAACCCCAAAGGAATCTGGTCTGGATTCCAAATATAATTGCACAAAGGAGAGATTGGGGGCTTTTATCACTATTGTATACTCACTTTGCTCTTACAAAGAAATGAATTCAATACACTGTAGCTTATGTTTAGCACTAGTACTATTTAATTTATCTCCCACATTTTTGTTATTAGCGTAGGACCCACTGATATTGGGGTACTTTGAAGTAGTAGTGGGCTTAACATCATATGGCCATATGGTGGAACTAAATCCCCATATTTATTCTTAGATAGGCGTTAGCCTTCTTAGTTATTTATTTACAAGTCTGAGTGCGCCGTAACTAGTTTTTCTGTACCAAATCTTGCATGAACATATTTTTATAAACTCCACGCATGCTGTATTTACCCTGAACCATACTGCATTAACCCTTTACCCCACTGCATTAAAACCCTGCACCCACAGTAATACCTCTGCATGGTACCATATAACTGACCCCAAATATGTTGCATTTAAGTGGCACTGATTATATAGAGGGGTTATTTTTCTCTCAATATTACTGATGTCTCTGGCTTACAATATTCCATTGTTAGGCCAGAGACATCAGTAATATTGAGAGAACAATAACCCCTCCATATAATCAGTGCCACTTAAATGCAACATATTTGGAGTCAGTTATATGGTACCATGCAGAGGTATTACTGTGGGTTGTCAAAATTAGACCCATGAAGAAAAAGCAGAGGGGAAAATAGAAGGAAGATAAAGTCTATGTTGTTATACTTATGAAAGATTTGTAGACTCGTACATACATATATACATATTTGTTTTCTAATATTGCATATTTATGTTAACAAATGATGTATATTAAAAAATGTTTTTACCTCCTAACATGTGTAAACTATTTTATATAAAAAATAAAAAACAAGTTAGACCCAGGATTTTTCAAGACACCACTTTGGGCACTTTGTCAGTTCCCCCCAGCCATAACCATGCTGTGCCCGTTACACACCAGCTTTTAAAGAAAATTATTCTCTCATAACTATAACTTTAAAAATTATTTCCTAAATACTGTAAATCTGTACAAAAATATTTAATTCTAATTACCTGAAAACAATAAAAGTATGCGTAAATACCTTTTCTTTTCTTCATTTTACAATACAGGATGAAAACAGAAATAATGGACACAGTAACCAAAATAAGGTACCAGGCCAATTAAACCAGGTTCTATTTTCTAAAAACAATGGGCAAAACAAAATATATTTATATCAACTGGATTAATATACACACTTTATAATGGTGATGTTATAAAGAGCATTTTTTAGAATATGATCCAGAACTGTGTGACTTTAATGAATTACATAGATTGCAGTAGTCTAATGTAGGGGGTGATATGAATATTTTCATGATAGCATCTTTAACTCATTAAAGACTAATTATATATTTTGTAGTCAATAAGATTTAATTGAAGAAGATATAAGGAAACCACAAAGGTAATAGACATATGTCCTGATAATCAAGTATAAGAGACAATATTAACTGTTACAAAGAGAGAATATGTATTCAGTACTAAATATACAGCGAATAAGAACATAACTACAAACTAATAGCAAACAAAGGCCCAAAAGCCAATAGGATTATGGGCATAGCACAAATAAAAAAAACAAACAAGAAAAGACACGGAGAGACATGTATAAATACTACCTATTAGTAGGTAAAAAAAAAGGTTGTAATTAGACATGCACATATCCGCCCCTACTTAACACCAGATGTGACTAAGGTGTTGGTCCATTCCACTGTCCTTTCTCGCCTTGACTACTGTAATCTGCTTCTCAGTGGTCTTACATGCTCCCAACTTGCGCCGTTACAGTCCATAATGAATATGGCGGCAAGGCTCATCTTCCTGGCCGCCCGCTCCTCCCATGCCTTACCCTTCTGTCAGTCCCTACATTGGCTTCCTATAAAATATAGAGCTCAATTTAAAATTCTGGTTCTTGCTTTCAAATCGCTACATAATGCTGCTCCCACCTATCTATCCTCCCTTATACACAAGTATGTCCCGTCTAGGCCCTTACGATCTGCTGAAGACTTACGTCTATCGTCTGTCTGTACTCCCACCTCTGATGCTTGCTTTCAAGATTTCTCAAGGGCTGCACCGTTCCTGTGGAACTCACTTCCCTCCTCCGTTAGATGCTCACCCAGTCTCCACTCCTTCAAAAAATTCGTTAAAATCCCACTTCTTCATAAAAGCGTATCAACTAAACTGTTAATAGCTCCTGACTGATTCCTCTTCTGCAACTGTCACTAGTCACACCGATTGAAAAAGCCGTCTGGCGAAACGCGTCTCGGAGCATCAACAGGACTAAGGACTTTCCTTATATTATTGCTTTTATATAGTATTTTTTTATTTGTGTTAGTATTTTATACTTAGCAATAAATTGTTTATTTTTTAATTACCTGTTGATACAAGCATCTTGTGTTCCTGCTACTCATCCAGAAGGGTTTTGTGTCCCCCTTTTTGACACATATACACTCAGAGCCAGGATTTAGGCTCTGAACCAGGTGAGCAATTTTATGCATTTTCTTGCCATCTGCACCAATACATATCGACATACTGCAACATATTTTGTCTCTCATCCTTTAAAGGTACAGCGTGATCCTCATCCACTGTTAAGGTTTCGTGTGACCCCAAACAAGCAGGGGCGGACTGACCGGTCGGGCACTTCGGACATGGTCCGAGGGCCCGGCCGGGAGGGGGGCCCCGCGGCAGGGCTGGATTGGGGACGGCATCTGGGGACTTGAGAGGAAGGTGCCACCGGGTGGCCGGTCCGGTGGCACACTGTGAGGGGGCCGGCCGCGTTTCATGCTGGAGCCACCGGACCGGGTGGCAGCCTCGCCGGTCCGGCGGCTTTCCTCTCACTAATGCTGAAGGAGGAGGAGCATGTCTCTCTGTCATGCTCCTTTGCGGTTCCCACATCCTGTGCTGGGAATTGTGGGAACCGCAGGGAGCATGATG